AAAGGTCATAAATCGTCGTATCGCATGCTTTCATTGTTATTAGGAAGTGGACAAATCTATAAACAAATCATTGTTTAAAGTAGTACGAATTGGTCCAATCAATAACTAGTCAATCATTTATAACTGCCCAAAAAATTTATCCAAAAATATAACAATATTCTCGTTTCTAAATGCATTTTATAGTCGTATCTCTGTGTTCGTTTTTACTTAAGTTTAATTTTACTTTTTTATTTAAAAACAAAACGGAGCACGTGGAAAGTTCATATTAGCAGACGTTAGCGCCGTAATTTCCATACCTACGTCATAAACTGACTTATTTACATTGTCGATGAAAAAATTGTGCATCTTGTTTACCGAACCTACAGAAAAAAACATGCCTTACCTGCTGGCAACGGATGGAGTATCTCTGCCTGGATCGGGTGACTGTAAGAACGAATGTTGGGGTGTGTTCGGGTAACTTACGGACGCCGGACCGTTCCAACCCGGTATTTGTGTTACTAACAGTGGCCTCACATAACCGTTGCTTGTAGTTGGTTGACTATCTACTTAAACAAATTTGTTAATCAATACATGTACAAAGATAAACACAAAATAAAAAACCTGCAGGTAATACATTAATTCATTTAATTGTTTCGAACAAATTGGTCATTTTCAAGAACACAAAAAATATAACTAAAATCAAATTAAAGTAAGGACTTTTATACTTAAGCTAAGGGGTGGGGCATACACATAAAAAAAACTCAATTATATGTATATAAGTAAAAGTGTTACTGAAAGTAAAAGTTTCTTTATCATTATTAACAGGATTTTAACTGCTGGAAGAGTTTTTAAGAGTTTGGTAGTACTGTAAATTTTTTGTTGTTTAAGGGTGCACCTACATATGTAGTAATTTTAGGATATTTTCATGTTCGTTAACATTTGTAATGCAGTGTTCTACTATACAGGCCTGTCGAACATTTTGAGTTTTTCAGACTACCTACATGCTCTTTTAAACATACATTTAATTTGAGAACAATTTATTTAACAAACATCACTCTTTTTGTGTTTGACTAATTTTAGTTTATTGCTTACTAGCAAGAGTACCTTTATAAGTTATTTTTGTTTATTTCAATAGCATGATGATAAGTTTTTAGTTTTATTATTACATTTTACCAGTCCAAAAGAATTAAAAATTAAAAGGAATACTCACCCCTAATTTCCACAAATAATTTTATATGAGCGGACACGTGTTTCGCCCACTACATACGTGGGCATTATCAACGCGAGACTGATAAAATTATTTGTGGTAATTAGGGGTGAGTATTCCTTTTAATTTTTAATTAATATTTACCAGTCTCCTCTTTCTAATTTGAATTGATCCTGTTATTGATACAATCTAAAAGTGTTTAGTCTTAAAACTAAACACACCTCAGTCACTACCCCCAAATAGGTGTGCACTACACAATAGCCGTATCGATAATTTAGGGTAAAACCTAATTGTTTAATGTCATTATTTAGCTGTCACTGCGAAGGTATGGGTGTCTCATTTATAATAAAAAATGTGTGGTTTTATGAAACTACGATGCAAGTAAAACTTTTCCGGTTGTAGGCATTTAACTGTAAATTCTCAGAAAATTATTTGATTTAGAGTATTAAAATTAAAATCGCGTTTTTAACCTTATCTTAATGATTAGAAAATGAAAATGATAATAGGAAATCAATAGTAGACAAGATATGCAACTAAAAATTTTAATTTCAATCTGAATATGAGAGTACGGAATACATAATAAATACAATCATTCAGATGATAGACGCATGCTAAAAACTAAGAACAATATTTATTTAAATCGTTGAATCGTTTTGAACTTCAATTATTCTATCAATAATTCAATCTTCGCTTTGAGTTTCACAGTCTACAAATGTAATTGTCATGCACTTGCACGAGTAAGTGAGAATATACATGCTACACGGTTAACACATGCGAGCCATGGGCACCGCCATATTGGCCTTGGCTACTCTGCCGAGCGCATTTCAGTTTCACCCCTACTCCGCGGCCGGCTGTCATGCGACATGCGATAGATGAACGAAAAACTTTGAGGCGTTGTAATAAGAGTTTCACTTTAATTAAAAAAAACAACATGGCTTCCGGACACAAAATACAACAAAAAAGTGTTAAACAATTTTTGAATTCAGTGACAATTGAGCACGCAAATCGTCATTGTAAATTTGAACCTACAATTTGTTTCATTAGGGGCCTGGATGTAGGCGCATGACGTCGCTCAGCTGATCTAGCCGTAGCGTATACTGATTGCGAAAGAAGCTCACCACCAACTGACGTTGAATAAGAACCCTATTATAATGCTCTTTCACACTACCAATTCCCCTTATTGTGACGTCTCCTATAAAATGGCCACTAAATAAATAAACTAACACTAACAAACGAGTAAATTCCACAACAATCCAAAGTAAACTGAACAACCTGCTACAAACTACGACATTACGTGTATTTATTCCAGTTACTTCCAGCAGTGCAATTATACGAGGTTATATCAATATTTAGCTTTTTATATTTAATGAATACAAAATAACCAACAAAGTCCTGGGCACATCCTTGTATTACTCCACGTGGGGTTAATGAGACCTGCCAGGCAAAACTAACGCCAGAATGGTCAAAGTAGGTATGCATCTTATCTTAACTATTAAAACCATGACATATACATTTGTTTTCGTACACTTGTACGTTATACCAAACGTTGGGTGGCTATGGTTGTTTGTGAACCACTTCTAAGTATTCCCTAATCGTTATAATTTCTTTTCTCTTTAAAATAACATAATACTCGCCGTCATGGGCTACATTAGGTCCACTCCTCTCCATCTACGCAATCAATGGTTTTCTTTGCCGACTTTTTGGTGAAAACTGATATTATATAGGCAAAAATGTACATCTTTTCAATAGAAATAATTCATTTCCACTCACATTTGTCACACACTTTATCAATGTCAATGTTGATAGAAAATGATTTTCCGTTTAATCATTGGGGCACAATTTTCACTGTGATAGGTACGTAGTTTTTGTAACATGTTCACTGTCATCTAATTTCTAATGGACCTTAACGCGAGTGCATTTTCTACGGCTGATCCGTAACTTAATACCAAACATAAACACTAACATTACACCAAAAAGCGACTGATTCCGACCTACTGAAGGTGAATTTTTCTATAGTCAGCCGTAAATTGTAACTAATTTACAATTATGCGGGGCCGGTATCAAAACTATTATAATTTTGTCAGGGCTTCCGACACCAGGCAGTCTTTGTTATGTTGTATACTTCTGACACCAAACAGTTTTTTATACGTGTATGTTGACACGAATAAATTCAAATCAAGATGAAGGAAGAGCGAAACAATCAACTGTAATTCTTTATTAACTAATTCTAAATTATACCACAAGATTAAACGGACAGAGATTCTGGCGATAGCAAAAATGACTGGCTGACTGACATTAATTTTACTAAGTTACTAACTTACTTCTATAACTGATAAGACGGAGGTTTTATACCGGTTTTAGTTTACCATTCTCTAGACGTCATGATCAAAAGTCTCTAAATTTCACTAATTATCAAAAGTTAAATATTACAAGAAATATCGAAGTTACACATTATTTCTTAAATGAATATAAACAAGAAGAATAAATGTTGTTGTCTCTAACGGAAATCGATGTTTGCTTATGTTTACTTAATTTTAGCTTAATATTTAATATTCCCAAGATAATGATTATTAAAGTTGCTATACAGGGTGAACACAAATTGAGTTGGTATCTAACAGTTATGTGTTTGCCGACACAATAAGAATTTCAAAATAATAAAAGGGACGAGCGAAGTAATTTCTGATTAAGTGAAGGTCTAAATTGCAACTGACTAACTAACTGACTTCACTATATCTAAAACATACAACTATTTTTACCCCCAAGATTCTTTTAGACATTTTTTACATACGGTATTCGTTGAGGCATAGAAAAATAAGGTTGAGAAGTGAAACTGCAATAAATCTATCAATAATGAATTTTGAAACTGAAGTTGGTACGTAAAAGAATCTTAAGCGATAAACTAGTGGTTTTGAGCCCACAGATGACAGAAATAAGCGAACAACAATAGAATGAAATATTTGAAAAGGTGATTTTAAAGTAGACCAGGCTACAAATTAATGACACAAAAAAATGGAAAACGAAATGAATACAAGTTACAAGAAATATGATATAAGTTTAAGGTAAGTGTTATTTGAAGAAGTGTTAGTTGAAACACGTTAAAAAAGTAAAATTTTTTTTGATGATGGAGTCGACGAAGTTTTCTTCTAAAGTTAAATCAAATAAAAAGTTAATATGTTCAGTGAAAAGCTGCAATAGCACTTCAGACATAGATCTTCACTCTTCACCTACATTTACTACTTTCCAATAAAAACTAACCGTTTTATATATGTAAAAAGGATATTCGGAAAATTAGAGAAAAAAGTAAACTAATAGAAGCTTGGATGAAAGTAGTAGGTATCAAAGAAGTGAATTCCGGAATAAAAATTTGTTCACGTCATTTTAATGCACATGATTATATTTCAGCAAGTATTTACCATCAGCCATAACCTTAATATTTAAAACTAGAATCATACTAAAATTATAAAGTGAGAAATTATTTATTCCTGTGTAATTCATTTAACACAATTCTAATGATACGATATAAGTATTTTGAGGTTAAGAACCTACCTGCTGCAATACAACAAAGTTGCAATAATGTGTTTGCAACGTTCTCTTAAATCGGTTTGCACGTGCAAGTCATTGATATGATATTGCTTAAATCACCCAGAATCACCGCACCAATTATATAATGTGAATCACTTTTGAAATCCGAAGTTTGTAAAAAGACGGCAGTAAACCGGATTTGTTATTTCCGAATTTTATAATGTGATTGGCATTAAAAACACGCTCACCTTCAACGAAATTTCCTTTCCGAAGCTTTGTGTCAGCCCAATCACATATTGTGTCAATACTTATCATTTTATCGTAATTTAAAAACTTGGAAATTGCACGGTACACTACAGGAACTACGATAAATTTTCCCTAATCGGCGCCATGTTTTTAGGCTCCTAGTATATGGTATCTAAAAAAAAGGAAGGAATCTCAGAGGAAACTACAACTAATTGGAAAGGAAAACTAGATAGAAAAAAAAACAAAAATAAATAATATAGATAGAGTTGTTATGTATAGCATTGGTGGTAACAAGGAGTAATTTAGGTAGATGGGCAAAGGTAATTGGCGTAGTGACGTATTGGGAAGACCGGTCGTTACCGCATGGTGCTTGTGATTCTGAGAATAAATTTCGTAGTGGGTAAATTCTATATCAATCGTTAGTTCTTTTGTTGTTTAATCTTTGAAGGTAAATAAAAACAAATTAAAGCGAGTGGAAGGAAAAACTCGATTGTTGCAGCTGCCTTTTTAAAACTACTATTTATTTTAAAAATGAAGGATGTTAATAATTTCGTTTTTGTCCGGCAGTTGATGTAAAGGCATGCCTTGAAAAAATATAGATATAACGTAAACTTCATTCTTTATTTTGTCAGTCAAGTATAAAAAATAAATCATAAATTTCACAGTTTCCCTAAAGTATTCATTTAATTATTAATAATTTCTATTTGGGGGGTAAGTACTGTTGTTGAGGTCCGCTATGTTGATTGTACTGTTGCGACTGGTCGCCGTGATGCTCTGCTCTGTATTGGCCGTTTTCGAAAATACCTTGAGCTTCTTCAGCTTGATTCTGTTCTAACGCTCTCTGAATTTCTTCTGGAATAGGCGGTGGTGTAGGCAAATGGTTTCCACTTGGTTGGAAACCGTTTTCATCAGCAATATAGTGCAGAACAATTTGTTGGCCGTCAGGTGAGGGATATGAAAATGATCCTTGAACAGCTTCTGCTTCATTCTCACTACCAGGATTTTTCAGTTGACCTTGCTCTTCTGCCTGAATTCCATTCCCCGTCTCATATGCAAAGTGATAGTTTCCTGCACCGTCGTTACTGCTGTCGTATCGTAAAATTGGAATTGGTGGTTGAAAATTTCCTTGCGGGGTAGGACCATGTTGTGCTGCTGATGGATGCCTATCAGATGGAGCAGGGCCTTTTCCGGGACGCTGGCTAGAGGTAGGTCTTGTGTGCGGCTGAGGATTTGGAATGTTACTTCTTTGATCCTTTGGCGGTAAATATCGGTTATTATTAGTAAGGTGTTCCAATCTAGCACAGGCAGCAAATCCAAAAACAGCTAATAATGCAATAAACTAAAGAATAAAAAAATAATATGTTATAAACTTTTCTAGAAAACTTTCAACTTGCAAAAATTGTTGTCAAATAGATATAATAATAAAATGAGATAAAATTAAAACGTTTACCTGCTTCATATTGTATTCTGAATGGTTGCAAGTGATGTGATGATGGAATGAAGTGGTTTTTGCTATTTATTTGGTACCTCACCTCCTTTCTCTGGTGAATTCTTTTAGCTTAGTTGGGGATATTCTGGAGGTCAAGGTTAGAAACAACTAGTCTTTAATAATAATAATTGCTGTGTATTTAGCAATATGCCGTTACAAATTGAAGAAGACGTACTTATTCGTTAAAAAAGCTATAAATTTGCGAATTGATCAATAGTGGTGAAAGGCTATTTCATCTGACCATCGGAAAGAAAAATGTAGCTGTCGTATAACTGGTTACCGATAAATTAAAATGATGTATTGATTAAAATAATTTATTTATTTGACTAAATAGTATAAGTAGACGTACATTTAAGTTTATTTAGTGTATAATATCCTTTCGAATACCGCGTTAATTTACAGAAAAGATACCTAGTAGACAAATAAATACCTACCTACTTACTGGTGTACGTAAATGCAATTATAAATAAAAAACTGTAGCTATTAAGTAGGGCTGCCATCCGTCCGGGATTCCCCGGATTTGTCCTAGTTTGAGGGGCGTTCGGCAGGGGGTTTTAAAGTGTCCGAGTGTAACCCAGACACTTTTGTTGTCACGGGAAATCCAATTTTTTTTTATAGATAAGCGATTTCACGGTTTCCTCTCTGATCAAAATCAAATACAATTTCGCCTCAGTTGTTCCGACTTTTACAAATTCTTGTTGGAAGAAAAAGATATTTTGGCGAAAATTGAGAAGACTGAAAAATACAAAAATAAATAAAAAGAAAATTTAGAATATTCTATAAATGGCGCAGTAAACGCCATCTGTAGTACGATGCTACATTTTAGGATTACGTATAGGTACTCCAACAAGGTCCACTTGTGTGGATATCTATTTGCTGAAAACGAATCCCGGCGTAGCTAACTTCAACGTGATAGGCACGTTACCATAATCGAATAAAATAATTCGAAGTGGTCTGTATTCTGTCGAAACTGCCAGACGCGGATCGCGATTTCGATCTTTTTGGATCTCATCAGCGCNTTATTTGTTGCGGTTACATACGTACTTAATTCGATTTTAATAACAAGCTGTATAAATGAAAAAAATTAAAAAATTATAACGATGTTTTTATTTTTGTTGCAAAAAATATTTTTTCAGAGGTGTCTGGGGAAAAACCATATTTCGCCCAAATGTCCGGGATTTTTGCCGTGTTTATCCGGCGTCGGCAATTTAGGTGATGCAGCCCTACTATTAAGGAATGCATCATTTTATTACTTATCATATACAAGTATAAAAATGAAATATGTATATGTACCTACTTACTTACAATTAGTTATTGTTTCTTTAGAAACATTTAAAAAAGTGTGTTCTAGTAAAGAACCATAAAAAGCTACTTTTCATAAAAATTATCATTAACACTATACGTATTTTATTTGTTTTCTTTGCGGACATTTTTTTTTTAATTTAAAGAAAATAAATTTACATATTTATTATAAATTATGTATTAACTAAAGTGAAGTAAGGTGTAATGTCTGTTTGATTAGAATATTGAAAGCGGAAGTATTTCTCTTGGTGCTTTGTTTGCAGAATATTTAGAGGCAGTTACATAAACAAAGTTCGCTATTTTGAAGCTGTCTCTTATTACATGTGCGCTATGAATGTAGGTGATTCGTTACGCTTTTCAAATCCTTTCAAAAAATAAATTCAATCAACTGCGTCAACTTAAAATATCATCTTTATGCTAATTGACCTATTGACTTCTTCCGCAAGTTATATGACACAATATTCATCTTTCATAAAGAGGTCGCTAATAAATTTCGTCTGTAATATATGTTGCATTACAGTCAGTCCTCAACTATTTCGAGCATCGGTAATGATAAATGTCGTTCTTGCATTTCACCACAATTTTCAGGTTTATGAAATATGAATGGATTCTTTGACAATGAAGATATTTTCTAAGTTTTTGAAAATAATTTTTCGTAATTGATGTTTCGATAGGTCATAATTAAGGCACTAAAAAACGCAAGAAACATGATGCGATCCTCTAGGCCAGGGCTTCTTAAACTTTTTTCATTCGCGACCCCATTTATAATTATGTGTTTCCTGGTGACCCCATATAAATATAAAAGAAAGATAAGTAAATATTCTTTGATGGTTTATTTATTAGGTAACAATGTACATTCAAATCTCTTGGGACCACCGAATTTTGCTACGCGACCCCATTTGGGGTCGCGACCCATAGTTTAAGAAGGCCTGATCTAGGCCCATACCAGTACAAAATAAAAGTCCTGCATGGTTTAAAACATAAACAATTAAAAACAGTTTTGATTTAACCAATGGAAGAAATTTTCGCTAGATCCTTCTAATATTATCCGAATATGATTGTAAACAATTATGCACATATTTCAGCCAAGAAATGTTATTAATAACAATTTAATTTGTTATAAAGAATATTCTTTAGCCAAAATATATGCATCAGAATCGGCTATAATAATATTTCTTCCATTGAGTAAAACGAAGTTGTTTTTAATTGAGTTTATAACATATTAAATTGTTATAAACAATATATCTTAATCCCACTATACGCATAATTGTTTACTATCATATTTGGAGAATGTTAAGAAGATCTAGTAGAAATTTCTTTCATTGCGTTAATTAAACCCGTTTTTAATTATGTATAAGAAATTAAATTGTTATAAATAATATTCCTTACTCAAATTGTACGTATAATTGTTTAGTATCACATTTGGGCAATGTTATAAAAATCTAGTGAAAATTTCTTTCATTGCGTTAATCAAAGCCGTTTTTAATTATTTATAACAAATTAAATTGTTATAAACAATATTTTTAAGTCAAAATATGTTCAGAATCGGCTACAACTATATTTTGTCAATGAACAAGATCTAGTGAAAATTTCTTCCAGTGAGTCGATCACAGCTGCTTTTAATTGTTGATTCCATTGTTATAAACAATATTCCTTGGTCAAAATCCAATCATATCGGGAATTTTTAAAAAAACTAGTATAATTTTTTCTTGATTGGATCTATAGGTGTTGTGAATCGCTTATAAAAAATTAAATTGTTATAAATAATATTCTCCAGTCAAAATATATGTAGAATCGCCTCTTAGAATTTTTTGACAATATTCAAAAGTATCAATTGATAATTACTTTTGTTCTACAATGTTTCCATTACTTTTGAGAAAAGCAATAGGTAATGTAAATTATTTGCATTACTTATTACAAAAGTAATAATCAATGTATTTTTTTTGACCGCAGTACGTCAGGATTTGGACATAATCTTAAAAAACACTTAGAAATCCACTAAAAGTACTAAAAAATTCGGCCAGGGGGGTCTGATTATTTATGTATAGGTACCATATGTTTTTGGGGTCGCTGAATCCAAATCGTTAATCATGATAATCTCAAATAATCTTCCATTAAATGCGTGACTTTACCGATAATCTTTTAAACTCGTAACCCTGAACCGTTATGACCCTATAACCCTATATCCCCATAATCAAAATGTACTAAAACAGTATCGCTCAGTCTCTTACTGCAAAACTATTCATGGTATAGATTTCACAAAATTAAATCAGAATATTTTTATGATTTCTGAGATGTTTAACTTAGCATTAACTTGCTTAACAATGACAACGGTCCTATCCCTGTATCTCCTCTATTTAGCTTAGTTTAATTACTTTTGTGATTGTTAAGGTCCATTGAACACCAACTTTGTTGTCATTGAGACATATTCACCGAACCTTAACAAATATTAGTATAAATTAGGATAAGTTCCCTTTTAGATTTAGTTCACTTCAGTCTCTGAAGAAGATAACCTTGTTATCGAAAAGTGCTTCGGACAACTACAGTGTCATGTTTTGGCGTTGGGGTTTAGAGCTAATTTGTTTGTTGTACAACAACCGCCAAAGTTTTTCCAATCTTCATATTTCAGCATTAGCATTAACCCAGTGTACACCTCGAGGACGTAACTTTAATTTTATGAAATCTATGCAGAGGTGGATTAAATGTCGAAAGCACCCTAGGCTAGCACCACATAGACGCCCCTCTGGTGTTCATATATTTTGCAAAATAATTTTTGTAAATACATACTTCCTTATTGTTTTTTTTTTAGTTTAAAAACTTCCGCGCGCGCCCCTTTTTACCTTGCGCCCCTAGGCATGTGCCTAGTTTGCCTTACGGATAATCCGCCACTGTATCTATGTCACAAATAGCTTCATGGTGAGAAATTACGCAACAATATTTTAGTATTTTGATTACGAAAATATAGTATAAGGGGTCATAATATTTCGGGGTTAGGGGTTGCAAGGATTATGAAGTTATACTTTTAGTGGAAGAGTTAATTAGTAATTAGTATTTAGGTTTAAAATCGTTTGAGATCATCAATTTTAATGGATTTTAAAACTTTTATTTAAGGTTATGCCAAAACGCTGACGTGCTGAGGTTAAATTAATCTCAGATATGGATTCAGCGACCTCAAAAACATTTCAGAATTTCTTTTGCCGTTTCTCGTGCGTCGTTGATTAAAATCTCTAAATCGTTCGCTTTATAATTTTCTGATTCATTTATAAAGTGTAGAGCAATACGATTCCGGATGGAAATTTAAAAAGTGGTAATTAGTATGGAATCATCGGGGATACGTTCTAAGGAGTTAGTGCTATTTTCGAACGCGTAATTTGCGAACAAATGAGATTTAGTGCCACTTGAGAACAGCAATAAGTAGCCTTAGGTTGATCTAGAAATTATAGTTTCATTTGCGAACAGACAGTGTGTTATTTAAACGAGCAAATGCTAATGTTAGTCACAATGATGCCTAACTTCCCTTCACACTTTATCCTGGCTTAGGACTGGCAGTTGAATACTGACGTGTTTTTGGCTTCCATATTTAATTCCGGCCCTGTGGATAATTAGTGCGGCGTAATTAGTCTCTACTTTTAATTTTTTATCAGAAAATATACGTTTGGATGCGGTTGCTTCACAATCGGGTTAAACCGCCTGTTCCAGCATTCAACTG